CAAGAAGTTCTGCATTGTTGGAAGTAGTTAAATCCAAATAAGCAGCTTCTATTATGATTCTTTTGAAACCTTAAGCAATTAAAATGTCAATAAAGCTAGTCATGAAATTATAAGATACTCAGCTTCTAGCAGAATGTATCTCAAACCATCTGACTCATTGAATTGGCCCAATTCACCAACTTCTATTACAAATAATATGATTGACCCCGAAATAAAATTCCACCTGGATTTCTTTCCTTAAATGTAGGTGCTTCATGAAGTATCTGGCCTTAGCTCTCCTTCTCTTTTCATAAATATGTTTCCCATCATGCCCTGACAGTCTTCTGACTTCAGCTATTCCTTCCAAAACTCCCGCATCTTTAGCTCTGACCCCTCATCTCTCTCCAACCAATGTTTCAACTGCCCACCAGACAACTCCACCTGGTTGACCCAAAGACACCCCAAACTTTTTAAAAGTTTTTTTACTTATTTTGAGAGAGAGAGAGAGATTGACAGAGCACACACATGCATGAGTAGGATGGGGAAAGGGAGTGGCAGAGACAGAGAATCCCAAGCAGGCTCCGTTCTGTAAGCATGGAGCCCAACATGGGGCTCAATCTCATGAACTGCGAGATCATGACGTGAGCCAAAATCAAGAATCAGACACTTAACTGCAGGGGCCACCCAGGCACCCCAAGACACCTCAAACTTGGTGTGAATCTACCATCTTCCCTACCCAACTCTTTCTTCCTTCTTCTGAGTTTCTTGTGTCTATTGGCAATCCTGCTCTACCTCGGCATAAAAGCCTCATAGGTAACTTCTGCTACCTCTTGCTCAAGCTTTCCTGGTCTTATGTATGAGTCATAGCCTAAATGACCATCCCCATTCAAGTGCTCCTCCTTCAACATCTACTACACAATTAGGCTATATTAAATTTCTTAAAACATGGTTTTAACTCTATTAATCCTCTCCCTCTGAACACTTCCATTGCTTTTTATCTCAATACATAAGTAAATTCCAAACCCCTTGTCCTGCCATTCAATTTTCTTCTGAGGACTTACCCTCACCCTGCGATCCCTACTTTATTTCCCACTAACTCATATGGCAACATAGATTCCAGAATTGCTGTTCTATATAATGTTCCAATTTTCTACTTCTAGGCCTTTGCTCATATTAAGCCCTTAACCTGAATGCCTTTCCTCCCCACTCCCCTCGTCCCCACCAACTATCCAACATACTCTACTCAAATGCTACATCAAAGCCTCTCCCAACCATATTATCTAGAAGCAACTGCTCCCTGTCTCCCCTCAACTCCCACAGAACCTCCCTCATGCCTCAGGAATGACATCTGTCACTTTATTTCTTAGACTATATAGTTACTTGAATTAATGATTTTCTTTATTTATGAGAATGTAAGTTTCTTGACAAAAGCATCTGCTTCTGAATAATTTTTAAATATTGCACAACTTCTAATGTCACCTTAAACACAGCATTTGTACATCAGTACTGCAGTATTAGATAAATTAACCATTAAGTAACTCAGGATCGGGGCGCCTGGGTGGCTCAGTCGATTGAGCATCCAACTTCGGCTCAGGTCATGATCTCATAGTCTGGCAGTTCGAGCCCTGCGTCGGGCTCTGTGCTGATAGCTCAGAGCCTAGAGCCTGCTTAGATTCTGTGTCTCCCCCTCTCTCTGACCCTCCCCCATTCATGTTCTGTCTCTCTCTGTCTCAAAAATATAAATAAATAAATAAATAAATAAATAAATAAATAAATAAAAATAAATAACTCAGGATCAATCATGCCTTCTTTACAGATTCAGGCATTTCTAGAATATTAGCTCCTTGTTAATCAATAATATCTCTAAAATACCCTCCTAAGTATCGTGCTTACTGTGAATACGGTAATATCATTGAATCATAGATGGTCACAGTAGCTTTCTATTTGCACAAGATAAATAAATTTTCAAAATAATCAAGAGGTAGCTTTATACAGAATTAGAATTTGTGGGTGTCAACTGCTAAAATATTCTAAGTCAGACAGCTAAAATTCTACACAACTGTTCATTAAACAGAAGTCCTCCTTAGTTGAACATTAAAGAAGTAAACATCAATATAAGTTACTCATAAGAGTTAACATTAATAAGTATCTGATGTGCCAGGTAACAAAAGGTGTCTATAGAGACGTTCAAGCTACTGGGAAAATTTTTGGGAGCAGATGGCATTTCACACCTATTTGTTCCATGATAATATGGGAAGGAATTAGCAGGCTCTGGTAACTTTCAGTACACTAGCAATAGAGGTAGGTATACAACTTAGTGTTGACTTAAAGTTTATTTTGCCTTTATAAAATTAACTTATTGCATGGGGCGCCTGGGTGGCGCAGTCGGTTAAGCGTCCGACTTCAGCCAGGTCACGATCTCACGGTCCGTGAGTTCGAGCCCCGTGTCAGTCTCTGGGCTGATGGCTCAGAGCCTGGAGCCAGCTTCCGATTCTGTGTCTCCCTCTCTCTCTGCCCCTCCCCCGTTCATGCTCTGTCTCTCTCTGTCCCAAAAATAAATAAACGTTGAAAAAAAAAATTTTTTTTTAAAAATAAATAAAATTAACTTATTGCCATCTTATTTTTCAGTAATTCCTATAGGTCCCCGAGAAATTTTGCAAAAGGATAACTTGCTGTTGAATATCTTATGAGGAAAAAGTGCTTCTATCTTAAAAGAGAACCATGCCTATAACATTATAAACTTATCTTCTTAATTACCTAGACTGGCATAAGGGAGGCATCACATTACCTCTGAGAGACAAAACATTGGTATTCCTTAGCAACCCTGTGTAAGCCTTGTGTTGCCAAAACACTTCAGACACCCTGACTCGCTCTACCCACAGCTTTCCCTTATTACTAACCCCAAGATGAAACCAGCCCAAACTGGCTATCAACAGGGGTGGGGAAGACTTGCTGGCTTCAGCAGTCACTGTCTCTTATACATTCTTCTCTATGGGCCACCAGTGGTGAGAGGTGGATGATTACACACCCACACTAAAAAGGGTACCAAAAATGGGCTCCCTCCTTTCCCTCCCTCACTCCTGTTGCTGGCTATGCTGGCACTGCCTCTAGGCCACAGTTCTTCATGATAGAGGGGACAATGAAGGAAGTTGTGAGAAGCTGGACTAATTTCTCATTCAGGAAAATGGTGTCATGAATTGGCTAAGAGTGTGGAGGCTGAACTAACTCAAACTGCGTGGGTTCAAATCCTGGCTCCACCACTTATGAGTTCTGAGAGCTTGGATAAGTTAATTAGTAAAACTTACATTTCCTCTTCTAAAATAAAAATCGTCACGATATCTTTGTTATTATGAGGATTTGATGAAATAGTTCCTGTAAAATACTTACCAAAATGTTTGGCATAATACATTTAAAACATTACTAATCTTTGCTCAGCTACAGCCTCTAGATACAGTGGAGAATTGACTCACAGGTTGTCAGAGTTTTTGTTCCTAAAGACCAGATTTGATCCAAAGCAGTGATACTGGAGACCGACACTTGTTACCTAGCTAATTTTTTTTTTCACAAGAGCTGCTCATGAAATTTACAAAGTGAAACTGATGAAGTCATATATTCTTCTAACACACAAAGAAAAACATGATATAAAGTTGGAGAGCAACATGTTGTTTTTCTTCAACAAATGTACCTGAACTTATACATCAAAAAAAAAGAGTTTTTATCTTCAAAGGAGTCACATCAGGAAGCCATGCACTGATTTCAACAATGCTGCCAAGTGTTTTTGGAACACTTCCTTCTAAATTACCTTCTGAGCCCGCTTCAAATTCTTTTAGTTGTCTTCATTGGCAACAAGTTATTATCCTTTGGGAGTTTTCAATTTTGAAAGCAGATTTAAAACCCACTCTTATAAAATAGAGGATAATGTCACTTCTGGTCAAAAAAAATAAATAAATAAGGAAATAACTGCCTTTTTGCATAGCTTGTAAAATGTCTAAAACAATTCCAGAGAGGGAATCTCGAAAACATTTCAGGCTAATGGAAGCATTATCAGAATTAATGTGCTACTTTCTGTGATTAACAGGTTAAGTGGTATTTACTTAATTTTTTAAGACAAATACTTACAGAGCACTATGTGTCAAGCACTGTCCTAGGAACGTTTACATACATTTAATGCTCATATCTTATGAGGGAAATTCTCTTATCCCCATTTTTCAGATGAGGTAATTGAGGCACAGAGGAGTTAAGGACTTTGTCCAAGGACACAGAGCTAGTAAATGGCAGAGCCAGGAATCAAACTCAGGCTAGTTAGTATATACGCTATATTTTCTAAAAAGTACCTCTGGGCATTAACAGTTATGCTTTCTGGGTTTTTTGAGGTAATGCAATTTAAACTTGGTGAAAGATACAGTATCTCCCCCATGAATTTTGTGTAACCTTGACTAAAAGCCCTCTTACTGTTTATAAGCATTATCTGAACCCTTTTTTCTCTATCTTCACATAGCAAATTATACAGGGAGGAAACACTCCACTCTCTAGCTTCCTAGTTTTCTAATGCTCTGTAGGCCAGCTATCCTGTTTTCCCACAGAAGCAAACCTTTTACCCAGCAGTTTCTTCAGCCCTGTGCCAGGAACAGTCTCTCTCCTCAGAGTTTCCTCATGTCTATTTCAAAACTCCCTCCTTAAAATTCACTTTTCCCGTTGCATCACTCAGTAGTTCAATCTTGCTACGTTAATGGGGAATATGTATTTTAAGGGGATGGGAGGGTAGTGGGGAAGGAAAGACATTAAAATATTTTCAAGTTCTCTTTTTTTTTCATAAGCAGCTTATATCGTTTTCCATCAGCAAAATGCTTTGAATGTCTCACTTTGCCCTCCTTCACTTTGAAATCTGAGTTTCCAAAGCGGCTTCCTACTAATGCCAAGAGCATACGCCTGGCCAGCCATTCAGTAATGATGACAACCCCAAGGAAACATATTTAAGCAAACTGAAAAAATAGATTATGCTGGAACTTCTTTTATTTCAGGATAAAAGAAAAATACAGGAAGAAATCTCACAGAAGCGTCTGAAAATAGAGGAAGAAAAATTAAAGCACCAGCATTTGAAGGTAATTTGTTATTTTAATTTCATTTCAATGATTTTGTATTCAAATATTCTAATGGCATTCAAATTTCTGTAGTAAAGATGCTTTAGGAAGGAAAAGAAAATCAGCATAGTTCTACTAACACCCTAATAACCATAGGGCAGGACAAGAATCTAGAAAATCTGCATATGAGATTAATACCTTCTGGTAAACTTGCGGAAAGTTGAAAGCATGCTTTTATTACTTTATCCCTTATTACTGAATTTCCTCATTTTCTTGGCTAACCTTGAGAATCTAGCCTTGATAATTTGGCCCTGAACACAGTCTTGCTTAACATCCCTAGGGATAGAACCAGCTAGAAAGTCCCTTTTGGAATCAATGAAAGGCCAGCCTTTCCCCAGGGGGTACACAGCAGACAGTGTCTGGCAGGGCCAAGGATGCTTGGATTTAAAAGCTCAGTGCAATGAATCCAATTTTGTTTGAGTATGGCTTCGGGGTTTTGTTTTATTTTGTTTTGTTCTATTTTGACAAAACATGAGATCATCACCAGAAATAAATCTCCATTTTTAAAATCAGACTTTACATCTTCCAAGGGTGTGGTCATGTTGTAATTAAAGCACATTGAGTTTCAACATTTTATTACGTAGCTTAGTCACAGGATGCAACCAAATGACAAACAGGAGCTCCTTGTGAACAGGTCCAAGCAGGAAGCTACTTAGCTGGCAGGGCTGCTATCAATAGATTTAATGAATCCCTCAATGAAACAATGCTGCACACTTGTGGAATCTACACACTTAAGGTAAACTTGCCAAATTCAGCTAACTCCATCTTTCTGATGGGTCAGGTAACCACCTCTGAAAAGAAACATAATTTAAGATTCCAATTAGCCTCAGTTCTCTGGATTCTGTTTGCTCCTTTGTTTCTATATAAATTGACATTTCCAAAGTTTGATGGATAATTTCAAAGTATAGTCAGCCTGCTATCCTTGCAGTATGTCACAGTGAATTTACATAAGTAGTAGACATAGCCAAGAAATGCAGTGTATATAATCAGAAAAATCAATGAAACAAAAACAAATTTTACCAAGTTACTTTGGTGAACGAAACTCAAATCAAAAATCAAATCCACAATAATTTTTGAGCTAAACCATTTCTAACTGTTAATCAGTGCTCTCTCTCTCTCTCTCTCTCTCATTCTCTCTCTCTCTCTCTCACACACACACACACACACAGTTTACACACAATTTGAGTCTCACAATAAAGTAATGATTGCTTCTGAGTAAACAGAAAGCTGTCTAGCATTCAACAATTGCTATTCTTGTAGAATGTGTAGCCAAACAACAGTAGAGCTCACAGTAAGAGAAAGGGTTAAATATCCCCTCAGTTCACTCTAGGAAGCAAGTTTCACAAAGAAAACTCTGGCTCCAGGGCACCTGGGTGGCTCAGTCAATTGAGTTGAGTGTCCAAGCTCAGGTCATGATACCAGGGCCATGGGATCGAGCCCCATGCTGGGTTCCATGCTGAGCGTGGAGCATGCCCAGGATTCTCTCTCTCTCTCTCTCTCTCTCTACCTCTGCCCCTCTCCCCTGCTCTTGCTCTCTCTCTAAAATAAAAACAGAAGAGGAAAGGAAAGGAAAGGAAAGGAAAGGAAAGGAAAGGAAAGGAAAG